ATTTGATAGTTCTGGACATTTATATACATGTAATCATCCAATACCCTTTTGTGTCTGGCTTTTTACTCAGCATAATGTTTTCAAGGTACATCCATATTGCAGTATGTATCACTCTCAGTCCTTTTTATGGCTGAATAACATTCATGTAGAAGTTTTCATGTGGACATATATTTTCAATTCTATTGAGCATATACCTAAGAAAGGAGTGGCTGGGTCATATGGTAGTTATGCTTAACTTTTGGAGGAGCTGCTAGACTGTTTTCCAAAGTGGTTGCACCATTTTACGTCCCAGCAGCAATGTACAAAGGTTCCAGTTTCTCCTTGTCCTAGCCAACACTTTTTACTATCTTTCTTGTAGATTACAACCATTCTAGTAGGAGTTTTGAAATGTGGTTTTGTTGCATTTCCCTGATGTCCAATGATGTTGAGCATATTTCATGTGCCTGTTGACTACTGAACATCTCTTTGGAGAAGCATCTGTTCAAATTCTTTGCCCATTTAAAAAAATTGGGTTGTCTTATCTGAGTTACAAGAATCCTTTATATATTGTGGATACTAGACTCCATCAGATTATGATTTGCAAATTATTTTCTCCAATTCTGTGCATTAACCTTTCACTTTCTTGAGAGTATCCTTTGAAGCACAAAATTTTTTATTTTGATGATGTGCAATTTATCCATCTTTTCTTTGGTGTTTGTCCTTTTGGTATTACAGGTAAAGAAAACCACCACCTAATCCAAGGTCAAGAAGATTTACACCTTCTTTTAATTTTATGACCAACTCCTTAAGGTCTTGAGTTAATTTCTCAATATTTTTTGGAGATGCCACCCCCTCTATCCCTTAGAATGTGCATTTCTACAAGCTCCCGAGTGTTTGATGCTGTTGGCCTGGGCACCACACTTTCAGGAATACTGTGCTAAAAAAAACTTCCTGATTATGAGCTCTATTTAAGTCAGTTTAGCTTACATGTCACACAAAAAAGCAATTTTTAGAACGAGATTCATACTGCTAGGTTGCAAAGAGTTTGAAAATAGTTTAAATCTTCAAGAGACTTTAGCTGAACAGACATCTAGTAAACATACTAATTTTAAAGATGCATGAAGTGAGGCCGGGAAAGGGCAAGTACAGGAGGCTAACAGTAATGGCTGGCAGAACAACTTGGGTTTTCTGGATTCTCCAAGCTATTTCAAGAGCAGTTTATACACATAATAAGCCTCTGATGTTGAAATATCAGGATAATGCCACCTCAATATAAATTAAATGTCAGTAAAATCTTTCTTTAAATGTGAATGTTGTTTTTATGATATAATTCCACTGACTACACGCGATAGCGTACATCCAAGATGCCTGTTGTAGCTCCTCAAAAGTTCACAACCAAAAAATCTACGTGGTAAAAGAAAAAGCGGAGTTTTACGCCTAGAAAGAATCTTGAAAAAGGGTGCTTCGAGTCTTTGGAATTTTTTTCACCTTTGTAAGGGTGAGTACATGTTTTATGCCGTCTGTTGTGTACTTTGAACATTGCACTAATTAAGCCTTTAATTAGAAAAGCTTCAGTCAAGAGCTTTATCTAACACACCAATTAAAGACTAATGTTCCCTGTACAGACTGTGAAATTGGTGATCCAGTGAGAAGGTCTGATTTGGTTCGGAATTCCCTGGTGACGTGTGGCTGTGATTTGGGGCGGCCATCCCAAGCGGAGCAACACTGCCCCCCCACCCCCGCCCGCTAAGGGGGGTCAACAAACTTGTTGACTGTGGACGTGGGCGTCTAAGCATCCTCGCCAGCGTTTCGAGAGGGCAGTGTGCAGGGGACAGATGGAGCCCCTTAAGGGGAGAGTCTACCCAAGGCGGGCCGAAGGAAGGGCCGGTGGTCAGGCGGAGGCCTTCGCTGGCCCTTCACCAACCTCCCACCCCAGCCGCAGGAGGCGGGCCCGGCGCGGGGGATCCGGCGGTGCGGGAGGACGTCCGCCAGGGCCCCAGCCTCGGCCAGCCAGTGGCCTCGCGAGCGCCGCCCACGCCGCCGAGGCGCTCGTAGCCCGGGGCCTTCTCCTACCTCGCGCGGAGGGGAGCAGGGCGACCGCGAGTCCACCCAGCCGGGAGCGAGGCGGCTTTCTCAGGGATCTACTCAGAACCCGCGGGGGCCAAAGCGCTGCTCAGGTCGTTGTCACGCGCGGAATCCAAGGAAGCCGCTCCCACAGTCCTCCGCGCCAGGGGCGGGGTGGGGCGGGACGGGGGCGGTGCCGAGCCGGGGAAAGTGGCGGCTGCTCTGTGAAGGGGGCTGGGAGGGGTCCTGCCCGTGTCTCTACGCGGAGTGTGAAGAGAAAATCAGGATCTTATAAACCCTGATGAAATCAGCCAGAAAGCAGACTACCAAAGGGTGATACCAGGTTACTATCAGATTATCTCCTGCAGCGGCTATGCTCTGATCTTAGAAGCCTTGGAAGCCAGGTTTCCGTGTCATCACCGACTCTGGTCACCCTGCAAAATTCCCCTGGTAGGAGATGCCTGTCGGGAAAGCCTCAGCAATCCTTCTTTCCTCCTGTCTTTATTACCTGCTTGCCCTGGGCACACATTTAAGCAGGTTCTTTATGTATTGTTTGGTGCGTGCCACCAAGGGCAGGGACTGAAACTTAGTGTCCCAGCTATATAGAACCGGGTTCATAGTAAAGTTTAATGAACGCACTATGAATGAGAAATCAAAATCATAATTGTTTAATATCATTAACGTTTGTTTTAAGTTTTAAATATAAATGAGGGGGCACATACAGAAGGAGTCTAAAGACACATTAAAGAGTTTTAAGCGTTAGGTACATGTTGGGAGACAATTATTCTCCATGAGGGTCTTGCTTGTATTCTCGATTTACTGCGATGGTTAATTTAACGTGTCCACTGGTCCATGGTACCTAGTTTTTTGTCAAACACCAATCTAGATGTTGCTGTGAGGATTTTTTTTTATTTGATTAACAGTTAAACAGTAGACTTTGCATAAAGCAAATTAACCTCAGTAACGTGGGTGGGCCTCATTCAATCAGTTGGAAGCTTTAGGAGAAAAGACTGAGGTCCACTGAGGAGGAGGGAATCCTGCCTCCAGACCACAGACTGCAGCTGAACCCATCCCTGGGTCTCCAGCCCACTAGCCTGCTCTGCGGAGTTTGGACTTGCCAACCCCCCACAACTGAATGAGCTAATTCCTTAACAGAAATCTTTCTGAATTCATTCTTTTGGTTCTGTCTCTATGGAGAACTCTAATTCAACAACTTTTTCCAAGGTGTTTTTATAGGGAGCAGGTTTGGACGATTGAGATGGTTGTGTCTTTCTAGTGCAAAAGGCAGTTTTGTTGCTTACCAGGTATATTAAAGATAATTTCTTACTTCAATGCAAAGGCTCGACACTTTGACCTGCAGTTCACTATGAAAGGCTGAAGTTTCCTAAGTTTAAGTTCCTTAGCTGTGACACAAACCCATTGCATATGCAGCACCCTCCTGGGTTACCCTCATGGGACTTAGGAGGCAAGGGGAAGAGAAGGGAATGTGAAGCTTGGGCTGCTTGCTGTGCTGTGAGTAATGAAGTCCTTTGTCTCTGACCCAGGTACTTTCTGCCAGCACTTATGAAACTGTGCTAGATTGTTAGCTTGGAAATGGGGTAAACTCTTACACACTTCTTAATAGTAACTAATTATAGTGCTTAGCTCAAAGCAAATGTTCACTACTTATTTGTTGAATTAATTAGTGAACACCACGGAGTTCTTTCAAGTTAGTGCACATGACAATTGTAGAGACAATTTTCATTATCTCTTTAGGTCTCCAAGCTATAAATTTCCAGGTCCTTCCAAAAAATTTTTTTATTGCAAACAAATTCAGTTTCCTTTAAACTTGACTGCTCTTTAAGCATAAAAGCATGATGCAATTATTTACCCAGGGACTGATGAGTCATCTCCTTCATTTTAAGTATTGTAATGTAGCTACCACTTACTGAACACACACCTATATTACCAGACAAAATGTTAGGATCGCATAGCTTGTATTACTCACATATAAGCTCCACAGAAAACAGAGTTTTTTGTCTTTTTTATCTGAAACTATATACCCAGTGCCTAGAAAAATGTCTAAAAATAGTTGGTTCTCAGTAATTTACTGACTAAATTATCAGTGCTTATAATCAATTATATATATAGGCAGGGGGAATGGGAAGTAAGCTGAGAGAGAAAATAAGCCTAATTTTGAACATGTTGAGTTTCAGAGGCCTGTAAAATGTGCACGTAAAGATGTTGAGTGGGAAACTATATAAAACTGTGTAAAGCTCAGAGAAGAGATTCCATCTGGAGACATATACTTGGGATTCACTGGCTCCTAAAGTTAATGGATTTGAAGCCTGGGAATGGGTGAGATGGCTAAAGTGGCAGGGGGTATAAAGGGACAAGAAAAGAGAACCTGGCACTTAGCCTTGGGAAGTTAGTATTTGAAGAAAACCAGGAATGTGAAAGTAAGTAAGCTGAAGGAATAAAATGTGCCAAAAAGGAGGGATGGACAACTATGTTGCATGCTGATAAAAGGTAAAGTAAATTGTATTTGGCAATATGAGTCACTGTTGATGTAGCAAGAGCCCTTTCGGTGAATGGCTGTATAGAAGACTAACTGCCCTGGATCAAATAGTAATTGGTGATGCAGTAGTGATTGGATATTGCAAGTATCAAGAAGAAGTACTGTTTTGAAATAGTAACAAGGCCCAGGACCTGATGATAGATGTGACCTGGAGGAAGCCATCTGGGATTAGGAGTCCAGGGTTGAAGTCATTGGAGTAAGTGGAGAGGGATCCTGACCAAGTAGCAGAAACTGAGGGAGTGCTAAGAGGAAGTCGGAAGAGGTTGGAAAAAAAGGTATACCAGATGGCCTGAGATTCACAGCCACACTTTCAATAAGGTAGGGGGTGATCATCTGTAAGTGGTGTGGGGCAGTCATGGGGAAACTACTGACCCTACCTCTGGACCCGGAGATTCCTGATGCGTAAGAGAACAAAGGCCCAGGACCTGATGATAGATGTGACCTGGAGGAAGCCATCTGGGATTAGGAGTCCAGGGTTGAAGTCATTGGAGTAAGTGGAGAGGGATCCTGACCAAGTAGCAGAAACTGAGGGAGTGCTAAGAGGAAGTCGGAAGAGGTTGGAAAAAAAGGTATACCAGATGGCCTGAGATTCACAGCCACACTTTCAATAAGGTAGGGGGTGATCATCTGTAAGTGGTGTGGGGCAGTCATGGGGAAACTACTGACCCTACCTCTGGACCCGGAGATTCCTGATGCGTAAGAGAACAAATAAATAACCTTGACCTGAGAAGGCTTCAAAGAAAGCATTGTCCTTGAAAGATATAGGAATCTACCAAACACAGTACAGAAATTACAGTACACTTTGGAAAGTGTTGGACTGGCTGTGACTGTTGACCGGAATGACCCGCGCTGTGGGTGGTGACCCAGGAAAACAATGATGTGAGAGGAGGTGGGCTCAGACCCGAGAGTCTCTGGAACAGATTAGACACACAGTTCTTCCATAATTCTGCTACAGCCGGAAAGAGGCTCAGGAGCTCCAGCAACAGGTGCAACATTGCCTTTCTTCAGGGTCAACCATTGACAACAATTGCAAGTCATCTGCACGGGCTGCAGCCGTAACAAGTAAGACCAGCCATGTGGACACTGATTCAGTGGAAGTTAGTGGAGGATAGGCATGTTCAGTCTGGTTTTCTACATTGGGTTAATGCTCTCATGGTCTCAAGATCAGTGTTCTTAAAGGTCCTGTTGTTTGTCATTCATCAATAATTCTATCGTTTTGTTTCTCTCCAATAATTCTACTCTCAACATCCCCTATTACTTGGAGAGGTTAGGCACCCATTGTCACTTGTCTGTCTGGTTACCACAACTTCTTAACTTTTCTCACTGCTTCCTCTTTACTCCTCCATCTTCCAGTTTGTTCTCATTCAATCTATTCTCCACACTGTAGCCAAAGTAATCATCTATAAGTGAAAATCTGGTCACATTAGTCCCTGCTCAAAACCTTTTTGAGCCCTCTCTCCCTACTCTGCCTTGACTTCTAGACAAGGTCTAAACTCCGTAATGTGGTTTATGGCCCTTCACAGTCTCAGAACTCAGGACTCTTTACAGCAGCCAAGAAAAAACAATTCTTGCTAACTTAAGCAGGAAAGGAATTCTTTGGAAAGATACCAGATAACTCAAAATTGTCATAGAGGCTAAGAAACAAGGCTTGGAGAAAAAACAGCCACTCGGGGAGGTAAGGCACAGCAAAAATTGTACCACAGAAACAATCTGCCTGAATTATATAGATCAACACTCCCAGTTTTCTACAGACTAAGGGAGTTGCCAGGATGTGGGGTTTTCTATTGTAAAGCCCAAAAAATCCCAGGCAAAGAAGGACAAGTTGGTGACTTTATTTACTCTGCTGATGTAGGCATCTGCCACCTTGATACTTAGATATCTTCCATCCACTTGGTACCTGCCATCTTGACATTGGACACTTGTCACACACTGTACTCTTGCTTCTGGCACTTTCTGCCTCACCACTGGGTACTGGGTTCCACCATGGGCACAAGAAACCATTTCAACCATCATGCCCTTCATTTTCCTCCATTCTGAGTCAAAGTGCAAGATAGGAAAATGAACTGACTGTGTTCAGGTCAATATGCCATGTTCTGGCTTCCAGGGAGCTCAGAGGAAGGTATCTCTAATTCCCCTTAGCAATTTCTCACACCTATTTTGGGACTGTCCTCCAATGGAATGGGCGCTCAGATGTTGAACATCCCAAAATGGCAAATGTCCCTGAGATCCCCTTGCGAGAACATTATTCCCTGGTCATACTTCACTTCTTTCACATCAGTGTTATGATCTCTCTCCCTTCTAGCCCTTCACATGTGCTATGCTATTCTCTTTCCCTAAAATGGTCTTTTCCATACTCCTCATAGCCTGACTACCCCTTTCTCCAGGAGGCCTGGAAAACTAAACCCTGGTGTATTCGTTTGCTAGGGCTGCCATCACAAAATACCATACACTAGGCTTAAACAACAGACACGTATTTTCTCACTGTGGAGATAATGGATATTTCTGACTAGGATTCCTTCCTGGACTTAACAGCTCTCACTGTGTATATTCAAGAGCTCAACACCCCAATTTCTGTGGGACACTGCAAAGGCATTTCTAA